CCCCAGATAGACACGCCCCAAGCTCCACCTTCCAGAGGCCTGAGGTTCAGCCAAGGAGGAGCCTTGTGCAGTTGAGGGGCTGGTCATCGGTTCTAGAGAGCTAGGGTTTGCAGCCGTTTGCTGATAAAACTCCGGTCACCCTACAAGAGATACCTCAACACAAAATGGCAGCTGTTTGGCTTTCCAACCGTCCGTGTTCCTGAGCAGTGAAATAGATTGAACCCTACAGATGGTGAGGGGTGGGCCATTCAGACTAAGCAGCTCCTTCACTGTGACTACCACAGCAGCCAACCCAGGCCTGGGCAGGGCAGGGACCAAGTGGACACCAGGCTGTGACCACAGAACTCAATCCTCCCCACTTTGTCAGGTCACACATGAACCACCTGCGAGGCAGCTCCCAGCCCGCGCATCTCACGACCCTCCATTCCATGCAACTGACCCATGGGGGGATCGGAGAGAGACCCAGTGTCAGCCCCAGCCTTGGGGACAGAGGATGACCACGTGTCCAATTACAGAGCCGTGCTGGGCACCCAGGAGCAGACGGCGGAATAAGCACACAGCAGAGCCAGCCTGGACCCCCCGCCACCTCCCCCCAGCTCTGGTGATCCCTGGGTTGGGTGGGGGTAGGCTGGATGAGAACGGCTCCTCCAAAGGCTCCCAGTCCAGCTGCTGCCCTTGAAGACTGGTCCCAGAAAAGCAAAGCCCAGTGCAGGCCCCTGAAGTCAGGGCACCCACCAGAGACCCAGCCTTGAGCAGGGTGTGGGTGGTGAAGTCTGGGGCCTCAGTTGCCTCCACCGAGCTTACAGGGGCCCCAGTCACACTCCTCAGAGCACAAGGCCCAGGGCGGCCTTTAGCAGACCCTGCGATGGACAGCTCCCCACCAGGCCAGCAGGGGTGATCCTGGCCTCACCAACCTTGACCTTCTAATAAAGAGAACTTTAAACTTGAATCAGAGGCCAAAGGCCAGGAGGAGAGAAACTGGAATCAGGAAATACAGGGCCCCCACCCAGGAAGATAGGCAGGGCTGCCTCCCACCACCCCCCACAAAGGCACTCAGTCCAAATCTGGGACTTCTCGGGGCCAGTGCCCGCGCCCCAGGTCGACGTCCGCCCTAGCCCCATATGGAGCGGGCCAGGCCATTTCCACAATGGGCCCCCTGTTCCTCTCTGTCCCCTGGTGCTGTTCCCTCTGCCAGGCCCCCAGTGTCTGGCCCGGATGTTTTCCTCCTGATGTTCTGATGGGGGGAAAGGTGGCAGGGAGAGGAAGAACACAAAGGGGTCCGGGTCTGAGGGCCCAGCCCCGAACCGGACCCTCTGTGATCTCGTGCAGGTACCTCCCACAACCTGGTGTGAAGGGTGCTGCCAGCCTGATGTAGGTGGTCTGCACCTTGAACCCCAGCCCCACCACCTGCCACGGCCACTGGGCCTCGGCCCAGGGTGGAGACATTGCCTTTCCTAGGAAGAACCCCACACACACACCCTGTACTGCGCAGTCAATGGCTGGACTCCCCAACATGAGGCTCTGGAAACCCCCCACCCCAGAATGGGGGCTCCTGTCTTTCCTCTTGGAGCCCTGGTGGCACAGTAGTTAAGAGCTAGGACGAGCTATGGCTGCTAGCCAAAAGGTTGGCAGTGCAAATCCACCAGCTGCTCCTCGGAAACCCTATGGGGCAGTTCTACTCTGTCCTATGGAGTCACTATGAATCAGAATCGACTCAGCAGCAGTGGGTTGGGTCCTTCCTCTATAGGAAGCAAGAGTGGGAGCGTGGGGGTCCCCAGAGCCCAAGCTCACAGGCCGAGCTCCTTGAATGAGAGTCGACCCCACTTCATTTCCACACCCTGCACCCCAAGACTCCTGCCTGAATGACCGAGGATAGCCCCTCAGCATCTAGCACCCATAATGGAGAGATCTGATCTAGACATCCTGCTCCCCAGTGACCAAGAGAGAAAGACCTCAGCTATCCCAGACTCTTGAAGCTCATGAAACCCAGGTATGGGGTGAGCTACGTCCCCCAAGAAGATGTGCTAAAGTCCTAGCCCCAGTACCTATGAACTTGACCTTGTCTGGAAACAGGGTCTTTGAAGCTGCAAGCCAAGGAACGCACGGAGCCACCAGAAGCTAGGAGAAAAGCATGGAACAGATTCTCCTTCAGAGCCTCAGAAGGAATCAACATGGCTGACACCCTGATCTCAGACTCCCAGCCTCCAGAGCTGTGAGACAGTAAATTTCTGATGTTTTGAGTCACGGTTTGTGGTACTTGGTACAGTAACCCCAAGACACTCATACACCCATCTCCCACTACCCTCCCACTCCGCAGCCTGGGACAGAAGACAGAGGAAGCTGAGTCACACAGCATGGGGTCGGGGGGAGGCAGAAGGGGAGACTCATGGGCTGTACAGTGTCAGACAGAAGTGCAGGGCCCACCCTCTCAGGCCTCAGTTTCCCCCCTTAACAAATGAACATGAGGCAGGTGTATGGGGAGGTCAGTGCTGGGCTCAGCTGGGGGGATCCCCGCCACATGTCAAGTATGGAGATGCCAGTTAAGCTCCTTGGGCCTGAGTGATGCCCCCTCCCTCCCACCCAAAGCAGGCTTTGAAGGCGGGAAAGAGTCCCTAGACAAGCACTTAGGGGTGCTTAAGGGGCTGATCAGCGCGGGACAGATCCCAAGACAGGAAGACGTGGGACCTGCCTGCTCAGTGCCCAGAGCACCAGGGGCCGTCTTTGAGGTCAGGAGCACGCCCAAGACACATTGGGGCCAACGTTCTCGGCTGTCTGACAATTAAGAGCCCAGGCGGTACATAGTTAAGTTTCTTGGCATCTCGTTCAGCAGCCAGGGCCGATTCCAGAGTAGTCTTGAGCAGGGTGAGGGGCTATAATCATTTGGTTTCAAGGAATAGACGGTGTAAACACTTTGCACTTGACTATTAACCGAAAGATTGGCAGGTTACACTCCCCCAGAGGCACTTGGAAGAAAGGCCTGGTGATCTACTTCCTAAAAATTAGCCATTGAAAACCCTAGGAGTACAGTTCAACCCTGACATATGTGGAGTTGCCGTGAGTCAGAACTGACTCGATAGCAGCTAATCATAATAACAACTAACCTAAAGGTTGGAGGTTTGAGTCCATCCAGAGGTGCCTTGGAAGAAAGGCCCAGAAATCTGCTTCCAAAAGGTCACAGCCATTGAAAACCCTCTGGAGCACAGTTCTACTCTGACACACATGGGGTCATCAAGAGTTGGAATCAACTAGATGGTAACGGGTTTTTCTCAAAGCGAACTTTAACAGCCCCACACTGCAAGGACAACAAACCCCATCCCCATCAAGAGTTCAGCTGGACCTGCTCCTCAGGAGGTGGGTTCCAACCAGATGGGGGTCCAAAGCCACACCCCCATGGCCTGTAGACCTATGGAGAAAGACCCACCAGTGCCCACTGCCCAAACTCACCCCCTACTGGGTCACGTGGGACCGTGACATGCTTTAACCCAACCAAAGCCAGCCCCAGCAAGAGGAACCCCAAGAGGGCCACCTCTCTAGGTGGGAAGCCTAGGGGAGCTCCCAGCCTCAGCCACGCCTCACCAAAGCCAGAGGCACCTCAGAAATGCCCCCACTCTGGTCCTGTCCTTTGGCGGGAAGGCTGGGACCCAGACAGGGATGGGGCACCGGGCACCTAGCTTTAGGAAGCACCCATCCAGCCTGTGCCTCCACTACACACCCTGCCAGGCCTCAGCAGTCTCAAGGCACCATGCTGCTGACCCATTTCACAGAGGGGGACAGAGAGGCTGGAGGGGTAAACTCAGGCCCTGAGAGCAAGCCTCTAGCCACCATGCCAAGTCCCCCAGACCCCAACTTGGATGCACGGAGGGCCTTGGAGAAGTAGAATTGTCCCCAGGGAATAAAGCAGGGAGAACAAAGAGCCCCCCGATATGTAACTTGAGGACGGCCTTCCTGAATCCCCCAGTGCTGCCCTTGGAGGTCACGCGGCCAGACCCTGCCCCAAGGGGGGCTTTGTGGCAGGTAGCCAGCTGTGTGCAGCCCCTGTGACCCCAGAGATGGGCCCCCAAGCTACTGGGTTCCTGAGTCCCTCCCATCACACCGGAAGCTGAAACAAAGAGAGGGCCGGGCCAAGGACCCCAGTCCAGAACACCTCGGTCAGTGGCAAATCTGGTAGCATCCAACCTACCTCACAGGATCCCTGTGGAGTAGGGGCACTACCCTGTTACAGGTAAGGTAACAGAGCCCCATCACAGTCAGGGACATGTCCAGAGCCCCAGAGCTGGTGGGAGAGGAAGTCAGCTCTGACCCCCCAGCAACTCTCCTCCCTGTTCTCAGGGAGCAGGGCCCCCCACGAACCAGAGAGTCTGGGTGCAGTGCTAGGCAGCGGGAGTCCCCAGGCCCACGCACTGCACCCGGCCCAGCATGCCCAAGTCCTCCTACGAGATGGGCGTTGCCACACACTAGACAGCTCCCAACTCAGGCGAGACCCTCACAAGACCCATTCGAGAGGCCAAAGCAGCTCAGAACCAGCCAAAGTGGTAAGGCCTCCTCTCCCACTGACCCTCCCAGAAGCCAGTCCCCACACCCACAGCCACCACCGAGGTTCAAGTCTTCACCCTGCACTGTTCGCTGTGCCCTAGGGTCTCAGTGTGCTTGCCACAGAAATGGGAACACAGGTGTCCACCCACCACATCGCCTAGCTGAGAGCACATTGCAAAGGCTCGGGAGGCCACAGCTCGGTGGGGGTTGTGGAGCCGGGGACCTTGGGGGCAGGGGCAGGACGAGGGGTCATGGGGCCTGTAGGCTGTGAGTCACGGGGACTGTGGATCATAGGGTCTGGGGGTCGTGGATCGTGGGGTCTGCAGGGCAGGGTCTGGGGTCCGTGGATGTTGGGATCCATGGGTCTGGGGGCTGTGGGTCATGTGGCAGGTTCTGGCGTCCATGGGGTCTTTGAGTCATGGGCTCTGGGGGTCGTGGGGGTCATGGGGTCCACGGGGCGGGCTCACCTTCACGTTGCGGTGGTGCACACGCGAGGGCTGGCACTTGACGCTGCTCGTATTACAGCAGCCGGTGCAACGCTTCACCTCCACGCACGGCGGCCAGATCAGGAAGTTGGCGGAGGTGGGGTCGATCTGGCTCCGAGGTATCTCATAGATGACCGTCCTGGTCTTGCAGACTGCAGGGATGGCTTCCTCTGCAGAGGCAGGGCAGCAGTGAATGCCGGCCCCGCCTCCCATCAGCCCCTCCTGCCCAGGCGGTGAGTGTCCACAGCACCCGGGGGGAGTGGCAGAATGGCCCACAAAGGCAGACAGAAACCCCACCCCCAAGGTGCCCTGAGGTGCCCCTGAGCTGGCCAAGGGTGAGTATGAAGGAGGGGTGGTGATCCAGGCAAAGAGGAGCCCATGACACTGGGGGTAATGACATAGAGACCACGTGGCCGTGGGACAGGGTGCGGAGCTCAGTGAGCCTGGTCGGTCAGGCAATGGCAGGGCCAGGGGCCATGACCTCAAAGCCTCAGGCAGCCCATTTACCCCATCAACTTTGGGTGCTAGGAAGCTCCTCCTGGGACAGGATGCAGAGCAAGGGAAACTGAGGCCAGGACCCTGTAACGTGAGAAGGGGGCTGGCCTGTAGCCAATGGTAGCCCCTAATAACAGCCAAACCCTGGTCCTGAGGGAGCAAAACCCACAGACAGTCACTCCCCTCCAGGGCTCAGGACCCCAAAGGCACCAAGGCCACTCCCGTGGCCACGCCTGGGTGGGGCATTGGGGCAGGTCAACTGTGGCTCAGCCACAGAAAACAGAGTAACCAGATGACCCAGAGGGTCCTGGGAGGGGGATGTGGCAGGGCCCCAAGACCATCGTGAGAAGGCTGGCCACAAAATAGCAAATACTGCATGATCCCACTTATGCAAAATGTCCAGAACAGGCAAAAGGATAGACAGAAAGTAGATTAGAGGTTAGCAGGGGCTGGGGAGGGGGCCAGGGAGAGTTGTTGCTGACGGGGCACTGAGTTTCTATTGGGGGTGATGGAAAACCTTTGGAAACAGATAGTGGTGATGACTGCGCAACATGGTCAATGTGATTAATGTCACTTAAATGGTTAATATGGCAAATGTCTGTTACATGTATTTCACCACAATGAAATTTTAAAATACAAAGACATTCCTGAAGGGTGCAAGGCAGGAGAGAGTAGAAACACCGGGACATGAATGCCCTGACTCTCAGCCCTGAAGGTCACCAGAGGCCACGGCTGGGCGCCTTGCTGGGGATAGTGGTGGCTCTATTTTCTGCTTTGCTCTCCGTGAACGGTGGCTTGGGGCACAGGCCGCTCTGTGCCGCCCGCAACCCCAAGAGCCCGTCTGGACACCAGGTGTGATCAGCTAGCCGAGAAAGCCTCACCAGGACTGGTGCCACCCTGCTGCCTTCCTAGGCGAGGCCGCTGCAGCCCAGCTGTTCGAGCCGTCATAGCTGCCAGGGACGTCTACGTGGGCCCACGGGAGCCCACATGCGGGGGCCGAGCCAGCACACAGAGGCACACAGAGGCAGCCACGACGTCCCAGCCCCAGAGTTAGGGGAGACCCGGGTGGCCCGGCGGAGGACGGCTCCATCCTTTCGAAGGTCCGCACACAGCCACCCCGAACACTCAGTCCAGCGCGGGCAGCGCAGGGCAGGCCTGCCATACTCCCCCGCCCCTCTTCTTGGAGCACCAGGAGGCGAACCAGTGGACAGTGTCGGAAAGGAGGCATCGGCTCCCCCGGAACAAGCCTAGCACCCAGGGCTCCACAGCGCACTGCTCTGGGGTGTGGGGAGGGCCGGACCACCTGCCAGCCCCAGGGCTGCCAGAAAAGCGTGGGGGACCACACGGCCAAGCCCCTCAACGAGATTCCTTATCTCCTGTAGCTGGACTCAAGTTTCCCTAACCTATCAGGACAGGCCTGGAGAAGGGGCCTCCGTGGCACTGGGGACGGTCCTGGCCTTTGAGATAGGTTTGGGGTAAGGGTGGTGTGGTGTGAAAGGTTCGGTAGTGGTGTGAATGTTATGGGGCGGCCTGCAGGCATAAAGTATGATTGTTCTCCATACTCCCGCTCAGAGGTAGAAAATACAAAACCATCTGCTTGAAGGAAACTAAAGCTCAGGGGTGTGGAGGCTTGTCCAAGGTCACATAGTGAGGGGTGAGGCCCGACCCAGTCAGCCAGCACAGGGCTGTGGGGTCACCCCACACCGTGCCCTGGCTGAGAAGTGCTCCCCCTCTCCCAGCTGAGCACTAGAGGGCCCACGAGGCCCCACCGGCTTTCTGAACCAGCCAGTCCTCTCTTGAGGGGACCAGACAGACACGGGGTACTCTGTAAGACAACCCCCAAACCGGCTGTCCTGGGAGCCAAACGCAGGGGGGCACGCATGTCTCTCCTACTCCATCCCCACCTCTCCCAGCCCTCCACCTCTCTCAGCCACCCCAGCCCCCCTCCCCATGCCTCTCCAGTGCCCCCAGCCCCCACCGTCTGTTTTTAAGCTAATAGCCGGGAGCACTAAGCTCCCTCTTATGAACTGGAAATTAAACGCGGCCACATTTTCCAGCTCAGAGCTCCGGCAAGCGTGCTGCAACAGGAACGGGCACTTCAGGAATTCACACAGGCTCTTCCCCCGGGAAGCGTCCTCACTAGGCCAAGACTGTAGCAGGGATGGGCAGGGCGAAGAGACCCCACAGAGGGGCAGCCTTTCAGAGCTGTTGAGCTAACAGGGCCAAGGGGTGACCAGCCGAGGCCAGCAGGCACAGAGGTGAAAACCAACCGGCTCTCCTGGGGCCACAGAGTCAGGGAGTGCTGCCCAGCCCCCGCAGTACCCTCAGCCTCAGCCCACCTCTCCCAGTGTCCCCTTACCAATACTTCTCTTCCTCCGAACAGGCACTGGCCGCCTCTCGGGGGCATGCCTGGCGGCGTGGGCCCCCCGGGCTCTCAGGCTTGGCTCCAAAGCATCCTCAGTCCCTGCAGGTAGAAAGGGAAATGGGGACCAGTTTGCACACACCTGAGTGGGGGGACCAGCTTGCCCACACCTGAGTGGGGGGACCAGCTTGCACACACCTGGATGGGGAAACCAGCTTGCCCACACCTGAGCAGGGGAGACCAGCTTGCCGACACCTGGATAGCGGGACCAGCTCACACACACCTGGATGGGGAGACCAGCTTGCCCACACCTGGATGGGGGGACCGGCTCACATACACCTGGATGAGGAAACCAACTTGCCAACACCTGAGTTGGGGGGGACCCACTTACCCATACCTACATGGGGGGACCAGTCACACACACCTGAGTGGGGGCCAGCTCACACATACCTGGATGGAGGGGATCAGCTCACCCACACCTGGAGGGGGGGACCAGCTCATACACACCCGGATGCCCCGGACTGCCCAGCAGCTCTCCTTCTAGGTCAACTATGAGGGCCAGCTGGGGATAAAGAGCAGGCCTAGCCCCCCAACAAGGTGGTTGGGGTCCCCTGAGTGGGAATGGCTTGCAAATCCCCAAAATGCCTCCATCAACCTCAGCAAAGGCTATGCTGAGGCCCCTAAAATGTAGCAGCCCCTGCTGGACCCCTGAACAATGCTGAGGACTCGGAGAGAAAGAGCTGCTGTTGGTCTCATTGTACCGCCTCAAAGGAGGCCCTGGGGCCATCCATCCCGCCCTCCAAGGACCCAAAGTTCCCAACCCAGAGCCTGGGAGGAGGACAAGGCTGGAATCCAGGAATAGGCGTGCTGGGACTTCTCGGGTTGAGTGTGTGAGTTTGTGTGTGTATGTGAGTGTGTGTGTGTGGCTCCCTCCTCCTCCCTCTCTCACTAAACAAACCCTCCTTGAAGCATCCTAACCTTTGAGGGGCATCAGAAGCCACGCCAGACTCTGGGCCCTCAGCCAGATCCTACTTGTTCCTGAAATAAGTCTACTATGAGGCCGAGAGGCCATGAGAAAGAGCACGAGGGGGAGCCTGGCCTTTCGCCGAACGCAGAACCAGCCAGCCTCAGCTGATGGAGACAGGAGTCCCCAGGAAACAGGTCCTGTACTGCACAGGCAGGGAGGGAGAAGGTTTGCAAAAAGGAAAGTGGTAAAACTCAGGGTCAGAGAGCCTGTTGTTGGCAAGGGAGGCCAGGGGCAGAGAGGGAAGACTTCTCACTACAGAGCCACTGGCCCCAGAGCTAAGATCAGCACCAAGAACCCAATCCCCAGGCCAGCTGCGGCCCAGTACTAGCCCCCTTCTAACACTGCCCTCTCGCCCTCCCGCTGCCAGACAGGCTCAGGAGTCGCTGGTTTCAGATTGCAGCAAGGAGAACGGGGGGTGGGGGGACTGGACGGGACACACAGCATACAGTTGGCCACCCACCTTGATGTGGTGGGTCCCACTTGGCCTCAGCTGCCTGAGCCCTTTGGACCCAGCTGGGGGTCCTGTCCCTTCCCACCTCTTTCTGTCCTGTCTCCCTAGTATATACCCAGAGGGCAACCAGGTGCTGAGGGTTTGTTGTTGTTAGCTGCAGCGGAGTTGGACTGCCTAATGGTGAACCCATGCACAATGGAACAAAATGCTGCCCACTCCTTCACCATCCCCATGATCGGTTGCAGATTGTTCCATAGGGTTTTCATTGGCTGATTTTTGGACATAGATTACCAGGCCTTTCTTCCTAGTCGATCTTAGTCTGAAAGCTCTGCTGAAATCTGTTCAGCATCATAGTAGCATGCAAGCCTCCACGGACAGACGGGTGGTGGCTGCACATGAAGTGCATTGGCCAAGAATCGAACCCAGGTCTCCTGCGTGGAAGGTGAGAATTCTATCAGAGAACCACCACTGCCCCGCAATAATGCACCCCAGTAACCAGTACCTCCCGCTGCTGTGCAAACACTTCGCCCATGTAATGACCCCATCTTGGGGCCTCCCCTCCCTGAGAGGTTCATGTGACATCACAGCTACCACTCCGGGCCAGAAGCCGCCTCCTCCTTGGTGCAGGACAAGCAGACGGAGTCCCTTCCTGCCCAGACCACGTGGGCATCAACGACAGCCCGCAAACCAATGGGAAAAACCTAGCTTCTTCCCATCCCTGCCGAGCCCGAAACCCACGCTCCTTCAAAATGAAGGCCAAAAGCACGCGTAAGGTGCAAACAGCAAAAGATGCCATTTATTAAAAGATCACATTACGAGCCCAACTTTTTACTTAAAATGACTCAATGTTCCAATGCCACTAATTTTTTTTTTTTTTGACCCAAAATAAGATCAGAACAGGGCTACTCATGCAGTAAGAATTTCCCATCAACCAACTGTTTGAAGAAGCATTTTGTGAGAAAAAAGCAATCTTTCTGAGTCACCTCTGGGGGCAGCCATCTTGCCATCTCCAAACTGGGGACCGACTGGCCCGCTCTCCCTTGCAAGAGAAAACTGAACAACATCGCCAGCTGCCAGTCTTCCATGCTTTCCTCAAGCCAGGCTTGTGTGAACTGACTGACTAGTCCTCATATATACATGCGGCAGGAGCCATCACCTTTTTACATCTGGGGAAAGTGAGGCCCAGAAAAACGGCAGCGACAAGGACCATTAGCTGGCGGAAGGAGCCCATATTTAAGCCTCTGGAGCTGTGTCCACCTAGCTCCGACGGCCCCTCCCACCCCAGGCCTCCTGCCCCCAGCTTAATAAACAGAGAAGACAATAGCCTTCCCATTGCACCAACCTGGTTGAAACCTGAAACGGAGAGACAAGAGACGGCCCAGGAACGAGCCCAATCCTTGCCCCCAGATGCAAGATGGGTGGTCAAGAGCCAAGAGCTGAGCACACTAATGGGAGAAGCCGCCATTCTGATTTATGCGAGCCGGGAAGGAACTCGCCCCAGCAGCAACTTACAAGTCGGCCCAGGCCTAGGCAGCCACAGCATGAATCATGCCCTAAAACTGCTCTGAGGACAGTTAATCAAGGGCTCTTTCCTTTTGTCTTTCATGCACAGATGTCCGATGACAACTCGGAGGATGGGTTGCCATCAGCACTAGTTGGGGCATTAATGGCCCTGGATGGAGATATTTATGATCAGTTACTCAATGACCCACGGGCACCCGGCCAGGCGCCTGCCAGAACAAAGCTCTCCTGCGGCCACTGCGCTGAATGGTCGCTGAATGGTCTGTTCTCATCACACGCGACAAATAAGCCCCAAGCCCTGTGGCTACTGATAATTAAAAGGCCACATACAGATCTCAGGACCCAAAAGCCACACAGGAGAAATCAAACCCACTGTTCATCTCTCCCAGGTGCACAGACCTGCCCACTGCTCAGTGGGACACACTGGTGCAGGATGGGGTACCACCACCTCAGGCCTCCTTGTCCCACACCAAGAAGCTGCAAACCAGGGCTAGGTGCCTTGTTCAGTTTCCCCATCTGTAAAATGGAGGCAGGTTCCTGAGGGATGCAAACAGTTAACATGCTTGGCTGCTAAACTAAAGGCTGATGTTCAAAGTCCACCCAGAAGTGCCTTGGAAGAAAGGCCTGGTGATCTACTTCCCAAAAATCAGCCAAGAAAACCCTATGGAGCACAGTTCTGCTCTGACACACGTGGGGTCACCATGAGTCAGAGTCAACTCCACAGCAACTGGTTTCTGAGGCATTGATGATTCAGTGGTAGAATCCTTGCCTTCCATGCCGGAGACCTCACTGGATGCTTGTGTGTTGCTAGGATGCTGAACAGGTGTCAGCGGAGCTTCCACATTAAGTTGGACTAGGAAGAAAGGTTTGGTAATCTACTTCTGAAAAATCAATGAAAGCCCTATGGAGCACAGTTCTACTCTGACACACGAGGTCGTCATGACTACACGGCAACTAGTATTGGTAAAACGGGGATGCCGCAGCACCACGGCCCACTGTGGGGAGTCCAGGATCATGCCTGCAAATCACAATGCTCCATCCCTCAGGGGCCAGGCGCCCCCCAAGTCAGTGTTTAAGATCCCCTCCTTTGCTACCTCCCACCCACGTGTGAGTCTGTTACTTAGGGGGACCCAACCCTAAGAATGTGGGCCTTGGAGTTACAAAAGGCGATGAAGGAATGCAAGTGGGAGCAGTTAGCTGGGTCTCCCCCCACACTCCAGCCCCTTTTTCACTGACTCCCTGCACCCTCAAAGTCTTCTGGAAGAGCAGGGTACCCCCAGCTGACCAGCTGGTGACTGTCTGGCCATAAAGGGGGTTCAAAGGATCAGAGAAGTATCCCCACAGCTGCTTACAACTTTGCATGGGTGGGGACAGGAGTTGGGGGAAGACCCCTCCCCCATTACAAGTTCTAGAAGCAACTGGCTCAACTCTTATCCTCAAGAGACTGCTGCACACCTCTGGGCCTGGGTTGCCACCGATGCTGGACCAGGAGGATGGAGACTTACTGTGAGGTGTGTCACAAGACTCCCCCCTGGGATAGGCCAGGTGAGTAAGGAAGGTCCTAGAGGCCGCCTTGTTGTCACACCCAAAGCCCCACCCCAAGAATAGTAACCAGACCCCAGAAAGTCTGAAGGCAGAGACATAGCTCCACTCCCGGGGGCCTGGGGGGAGATGTCTGTGTGAGGGGCGATTGGAAACCCACTGGCCCAAGACTGGCTGGTGCACCACACCTTTCCTTCTAGCCCCTCCAAAAGAGGCCCCAGTCCCTGGGGGGGAGAGGGGGGCAGGGGGCCAGGTCAGGAATGCCATCAGCATAAGCCTGCAGAGCGAAAATGCTAAAAGCGTTAATGGGTGGGGGAGGCAGGGCTGCGGAGACCAGAATAAGAAAGGTGTGGGCAGAAAGTCAATGGCCCATTTCCCTGCTGCGTCCCCAAGCCCTCCCTGGGCCTCCCTTCAGCAAGCCAGAAAAAAAGCCAGGAACCATCTCTGGGATGCATCTCCCCACTTCTCCAAATCCTTCAGGGACCAGCAAAATGCAGGCGAGTGTTTTCCCCAGCCAACCAGAGCCAAATCCTCCTTCTCCCCAGTGCTAAACATCAAGGACCCAGCTCAAAACCACCTCCCTGGCCCAACTCTGATCTCCAAGTGAAACTCTATCCCTTCCCGATAAGGATCAGCCGAGGATTTCCTGGGTCAAGAAACTACAGAAACCGTGGGCCTCGCTAGAAAATGGTTTTGGCAAGAAATGAAAATAGTTCAGGCCCCTGCGCCACCATAATTAGGTACAAATTTCCAAATGACTAAGCCATGTGATTTTACTTAATTCCTCCGTTTCCCCCCGCCCCGCCCCCAAAAGCAGTTAGCAGGGAGAATAATCTTCAACTCACTTAAAATTCCTCCAACCAACACTGGCAGCCTTTACAGACTCCTTTTGACAAATTCCTCACGGGCACTTTTTTTTTTTTTTAAACCAATCAGTTCGTTTTCGGATATGAGTATTTCCCTGGTTTGAATTCCCACGCCTGAAGTGAATTTTAAAAGGATGCCCCAAAGATGGTGGAGGAGAGACCTTGTCCTGTCCTCACAAAAGGTGAGCCGCCTAACGCCACAGCCCAACCCACCCCTCCGCGGTTATTAATCTGGCGAGAGGAGTAAGGGGACCCCTTTAATCTCAGCCAACCGGGGTCTAGCTCAATTTTTCAAGCAACACTCCAGAGCTTCAAAACTCTGCTTTACAAACAAACTGTTTTCTAAAGTGGCTGGGCTCCGGGCCCTGAGGGTGAACCCAAAAATAGCCCCCAAACAGCGGATGTGTAAAAGGCGGGCCTTTTTTATTGGGTCGTGAAAAGATAGTCACTGGCTTCCACAAACCACAAAGCCCCAACCCTCGGGCATGGCTAGGCACCAGCTCGTGGCGATCACAAAACGCCCCTAACGGGTCCCGGTTGCTTCGTCCTCGGACTAGGTGCCTCCCCTCCCTGGGCCTCGGCCACGCGGACTCCCGCGCGCTCCCGGCTCTGGCCCAGGCCTAGCCCGGCTCGGCTCTGCTCGACTCCGCCCGCTCCTGTGGCCTGCCCCGCGCGGGGCGGCACACCTGGCGGGGGCGCCGCCCCCGGGTCTCGGCTCCGGCGCCCTCTATGCGCTGAACTTTCCGTGACACACACTGTATTTTCCTTAAACGCGAAAACAATCCCAGGGCGAGCGAGCAGCTCTCGGCCGACGCCGGGAGAGAAAGTGGTGATTGGAAGAGAAACTCCTGACTCATGCGCTTGGGCTTTTATGGCCGGGGATTGGATTCTGACCTTTCGGTCCGCTCCTGCGCGCGGCTCCCGGCCCGGCCCGAAGCGCTGGGAGGCCGCGCTCGCCCCCGGCCCTGGCCGCGGCGCTGCCCGCGCCCGCCCAGCCCTCCCGGGCGCCCGGGGCAGGGAGCGCGATTTACCTACGGAGTCTATCTCCAGGAGTCGCTGCAGGTCCCGGATGCTGTGGATCTGACTGTGCGCCAGCCGCTCGATCACCTCGCGGGGGATCTCCGCTTCCTGCAAGCGGAGGCGACACGGTCAGAGCTGCGCGCCCGGGCCGAGAGCCGGGCGTGGGTCCTCGGCCCAGGAGAGCCGGCCGCAGCCCCCGCGCGACCCAGCCTCAGCCTGGCGGCGGTCGCCCAAGCGGGCACCGCGCAGCCAGGTCGCCGGACCCCCTGCCCAAGCATTGGAGCAGGAGGATGGGGGTGGGGCCAGGCACGACCCCAGGTTCTCCCCTCCGAGGTCTGCTCTTTGGAGAGGGGGAAGTTCCCTCTTTAAATTTTCAAAGAAAAGCCCCCGCACTCCGGCCCCTCCACCCTTGGTGTCAGTTACAGGAGGTTTGGGGGCAGCGAGGGGCCCGGGGAGTTTCTGATTTAATAGCGAAATCAACATCTAGAAAGATCAAGTTGAAATGCGTCACGGATCGGCAACGAAAGTCACGGCAGCCCTAGCACTTTAATCTAGCTGGGGGCTTAAATTTCACGCCCCGGAATCCCGGCAGAACGCGGAGGAGAGGGTCTCCGTTTCTCACGTCACATTAGCCCCACCCCGGCTCCAACCCGGCAGCGGCCCTAGCGCCGACCGAGACGCCCCAAATCCAGACGGCGCTGGGCGAAGCTGCCCGGGAACTTGGGGGTTAAACGTCTACCTCTTGCAACTCCCGGGTCCCTGACCAGACAGCCCCCACCACCTGGCCTTCCCCACTCCTCTATTCTTAAAGAGGGTCGGGGGTCGCGGGGGCTCGAGCACCAAGTTCCCACCACGGGGGCTGGAGCAAGCCATTCATCACGCCCGAGCTCCAGGGGAGTCGGATTCTGGGGGGTGGGGACGAGGGAGGTGGGAGGGCGCGGGCGCCTGGCCCGGCCCGACTAGCCTCGTTCAGCCACCTGTAAGCAGGCCCCGGGCGGGAGACTGCGCCGGCCCGCCAGAGCCGGGGCTGCAGCTCCGCAGTGCCCACACCCTGTCCAGCCGGGGGCTCCCGCCGCCGCCGCCCCTACCTGTTCGCCGACCGCCGCCTCCCCTCCCCGGCTCCGCGGGTTCACACCCCCTTCTCCGGTCACCGCAGCCCGTGGCCTCACGGCCGCCGCGCCCCAGCCACCCCTCCCGGAGAGGAGCCCGCGCCCCCCAAAGTTTCTCCTCTCTCCTCCGCCCCGCGCGCCCCCCGTCCCTGCACAGCCGAGCGACGCAACGCGTCGGGAACTCACCAGACACACTTAGGCATGGCAGAAATAGAACCCAGTTGGGAAAATTAAAAAAATCGACCTCCCCAGGCGCGAGCAAAATGCGCGCTGCAGAGCCCCGAGCGCCCAGCCTGCGTGGGGCGTGCGCCTGGGGCGCCGTGCAGGGACGCGGCGCGGGTGGCACCCACCTCGGCCAGGGCATGGGCGAGGTATCCGCAGCCGAGCAGCAGCAGGCAAGCCCAGGTCCTCATCGCGGCCCG